GTAATGTAATGTAATGTACTGTATGTATGTATGTATGTATGTATGTATGTATGTATGTAATGTAATGTATGTATGTATGTCTGTATGTCTGTCTGTATGTATGTCTGTATGTATGTATGTATGTATCCTTGCACTTCCCCTGTGCTCCCCAGTATTTCCCGCAAAAAAACACGGTTTTTCCAGCGTTTTCGCAAAGATGATGTCCAAAAACACAGAGTTTTTCCATATTTTCGGCAAAAGGATGCAGGAAGCCCAAGCCAGCAAAAAAGCCGGCAGGGGGAATCGAGCCTGGGACCCCTGTTTTGCGACACCGGGTCCCCGAAGACTACGTTTAGTGGAACGTCATCAAATTGCCGTGCGGTCCTTGGGGGGGGGGGCCCCCCACGTATCAGACGTCGGGGGGGGGGGGTTAGGGGGGGGGCTTATCCTCTATCCTCTCTTAGGTGTCCGACACGCCGTGCAATGTCGGCGGACATAATAATATTGACAACAATGACAATAATGACAATGATCATAATAGCAATGGCAATAACAACAGACACTACTCAGAGCACTAATTCGTTGTTGTTTTTGTCTGGTTTTGATGATCTACATTCGAATGAAGAACTAGATGAATGAGGATTACCTACCTTTCTATTTCTTGCGCATGTATTTCCATTTCCTTGGGATTTAAGCCGATTTTCCTTAGGGCCAGTGGGGATTTTTCAGTCCGGGGTTTCCTCAGTTCCCCTTTTTGGACCTCCAACAGTGGCAGTTCCAACGGAGCCCACGAGTCAACGGAACCCAACTCGGGGGTTTCCCCGCAGACCCCTGGGCGCAAGCTCCCAGATGGTTTTCTCATCCTCTTCGCAGAGGGAATTGTGTCCTGGACCCCTACGGGGGGCTATGGGGAGTGGGGGCGTGACTCCCTTATTGACCCGCCAAGGGCCTGAAGGGCTTATCCTTGGCTCATCCAAGGCTTATCCAGGCATAACACCCCCCCCCCCGCGCGGTTTCGGGGTTTTGGATGTTTGGGTTGTTTTCTTTTCCTAGGGGGTGGTTGTTGTTGTCAGTTGCCTTTCCTTCTTTCCCGTTTTGGGGGGGGGGTTCTGGGCTTTGAGTCCTTTTGGTGAAGTTCCGCCACTGGCAGATTCCGTGCCAGCCGAGGTATGGGTTTCAACGACCAGGACGGGGGGGTTCTGTCTCGCGAAGCGGGGTTCCAACTGGTTTCTGCCTTGGACGTTTCATCCAGCACCACTGGCTGTTGCCCAGTTGACCCCTGATATTTCGAGATTTTTGCAGCTTAGGGGGTGGTTCACGGGAAAACAACAACAACAACTGGTCTGTCAGAAAGCAACATTTTCCGGATCCGCCCGGGTGCCGAACAAGACATCAGGCCCGAGGCTTTTCAATGTCCTTCCCTTTTAGAATCATCCAATTTCTGGGTTTCTATCCAGCTTCCCAATGTAGAGACTGTTCTTGATATTTTTGCAAGGGTTTTGGGTGTGTCAACTTTTTCCGATGTCCAAAGGACACCACTTTCTTGTGAGATGGTGTACATTTCCTCCTTTAACGCAGCCCCCATGCTATGATTCCATCTATTTCCAGCTTTAAGCAACACGCAGTTCTTCAGGACACACTATGGAGAGCACTTCTCGACTGCTACTGGTGGATCTTTAGACTTCAGAATTTTGGGAAATCAAGGGGTTTTCCACTGAACCCCCAAAAAGGGGGTCAACAGCAACCAAGACTTAAGCGGCACCCCGGACTATGCCCCCAAGTGTTTGATTAACTGGGAGCGTCACCTTCGGGAGGGAAGCCGGATCACTTGAGCCACATCCTCAAAACCGATTCGGGTAGATGAAGGTTAGGGACAATCCCAACAAAAAATAGCTGCGAATATCCGCCTTCTTAATTCTTAACATGGTTCTGGGTAGACCATTCTAGTACCGGGTTTTGATTATGACTCACTTCGCCTCAAGTACCCCCCCAACTTCATCAAGCTGAATGAACTGGGTTCCAGGTTCGCACCAGGGGTTCATACATGTCTATTTTTGTATATACACGCATATCGGCCGTGCACTCAGGAGATCGTGGCCTTGAGCGGCGCCCACGGCCTGGGCGCCTGCCACACGGACCGCAGCGGCTACTGGGGCCCCTGGACCCGGGCGCCCACCACCGTGAGCGCCGCGGCTCGCGGCTCGCGGCTCGCGGTGGGCTGCGAGAAATCGGTGGGGAAGGTGACGAATGGACCGTTGCGGGGGATTCCCTAAAGGAAACCGGGAATGTGGGGGACCTGGAAATTCCCTGAAAGAAAGGAAGCCACACCAGTTGGATGGATTTTTTCTTGGGTCATTCCATTTCGAAGTTTGGCTTCATCGTGTTGGTTTGCGTGTGTGTGGTTTTGGAATTTGGGTAGGTTTTCAAGCACACCAACACAAACAACACAATGTTCGAGGTTCAAGGGTCACTTCCTGAGTTCCTGGACAAGGAGACCACCCGTTTTGCGGGGCTCATATTT